ATTAAAAGATCACTTAATTACAAGATGTCACAAATATGAGTAAGCACATAATTCTGAGATCCTGATCTCAGAAACTGCACTACATGAATGTGCTATTATTTCCTCATAGGTATGAGACATTGGGAAATACTGGGTTTACTTAATGTGGATGGTATTAATATTAGTACTGTATTTCAACATTGTCAACAWTGTGCAGGTAAGTCCTTGGGTTGTTCAGGWGAAAAGCCCACTCTGACCTGCTTGAGGTCGTTCTCTTCCTGCAGTAGCAGTTAAACCAGTACAGGATGCTTCATGGCTATAAGTAGCTAACGCACATGAAATACACCCAGGCTGGTTTGGTGGTGTCCCAAACAACTACGCCCACAAACAGCACACACTTGGACCTGTTTCAACCCTGCACATCTCAAACTTTTTGGGGGGGACCCCTTACAAGGGTGAAAAAACTCCAGAGACCCCCCTCATAAACCCCATGCTGTTAATGCACAATAATTTACTGTTATTTTAACCCCTTAATGCCATGGTAATAGTATTTTTGTTTGGTTTAGTATGTTTGTTTTACTAGTGCATTATTCCCCATATTTTTTTAAATAAAAAACAAATTAACAATTTATTGAAACTTATTAACGGCTTATTAACGGCTCGCAGACCCCTCAGGGTCTTGGGACCCCTGTTTGAGAACCTCTGTTTTAGGGGATAAGTTTCAGCAGTGGTGGGCACAGCTAACCAAACGTTAACTTCATTAACTCATAATYTGATAACTAAAAAAATATAGTTTCGCTAACTGTATTATATATAATATTGTTATTATTAGAATAATAGAGACATGTTTAAATTTTTGCTTTGTGAGAATCCTTTTTTCCATTAAACTCCATAAAATGAATCAGGTCRTTTATAAGAAGTGTTCGAAAACAAACAGTGAAAATCCTCATATGCTGTAATTTCACACCTGCTGAAATACAAAGTATATTTTAAAGATAGCTTGAGAACAGGAACAATAAAGGCTCGGCACGTTTAATTACACTCCACTTTATACACAAAAGTTGAGTAACCAGAGTTGTGTTTTCTATTCATGTGTGTCCAGGTGTGTTTGTGTAGAACACGCTGCTGGTATGTTTTGAGGAGTGGCCTTGCCCTCTGTATCACAGCTGATTTCTAGCTACAAATTCCAGGTTGCAGTTCTTGTAAAGCTGCTATTTTTTTTCCCTTGAACATAAGAAGAGGTCAGATGGAAATGTTTAACATTACATATGCTGTGGAAACTTCATTTATGGACAAGCAACTATAAAAATTGAAAATTAGGTTTGCTTATCCAGAATATTTTAAATAACTGTATTTGTTTAAATGAAGAGTTTATAGTAGATATAAAAAAAACTCACAGGCAGTAAAATCGGCACCTGATGGGTGAAAGTTTTAAATTCTTGCCAGTACTATGACAAAAACCATCATTGGCTCAAATTATCCCACTTCATGCATTTTAAAAGCAAAATCTAAACTCAAACAAAAGGAAACCTAACATTTTACTTGCAGCCTTCTCATGACTCTCAAAATCTCCATCAGCTGGTTTTCTGATTTTCTAGGGTAACTTCTCATCTTCAGTTTCCCTGTCTTCTCACAGCACGAACAGTACAGAAACAATTTGGAATGAGAACAAATAAACAGATTAAGTCATGTTTCAGACTGCCTGTTGCTAGTGGATTTATTCTGACTCAAAGTGCAGCGATGACTGGTTCTGAATGATGGCTTTCTGGCAGACAGCCACTCTCCCCTGCATACCGGTGCAGAATTTTATAGTGGTGCGCAGTCCTGAACCGTACCAGGTCACTATCATGACAGATGGCAGGAGAGCACCTGCAGGTGTCAAAATATGACTAGCTCTCTAGAATTAAGGAAACTAATAAGAGAGGAGTTTGAGTTGCATGCAACTATTTTGCTACTATTTTTTACAGAGAATTACATCTGCTGCTATTTTATGGGTCCAGTGGGAGCGTGCCTATCCCCTATGTTACGGCATCTAGCACCTATGTTATCCCCTATGTTACGGCATCNCCTATGTTATCCCCTATGTTACGGCATCTAGCCCCTATGTTATCCCCTATGGCATCTAGCTCCAATGTATGGCATCTAGCTCCTATGTTATCCCTATGGCATCTAGCTCCTATGTTATCCCTATGGCATCTAGCCCCCATGTTATCCCCTATGTTATGGCATCTAGCCCCTATGTTCCCTGGTATCTATGTTTTTTGGTCCTCACTGGGTTAACAATGCAAGTCATGACAGATGCTTGGCTTGGGAAACACAAATACTAGGGAGCACAGGTACTGGGGAACATAGGCTGTGCCAATTTGAGCTTTTTTATTTTGTTAATTTTAGCTTCTTTCTGCTATTCTGCTTTTTTAACTTTTTGTGCTCCTTTCTTCTAATTTGAGCTATTTCAGCTTCTTAAAGTTGCTTTCTGCTATATTCAGCTATTTGCAGCACATCGATCCAGGCTGTGGCTCTTCTCCTGAATAAATGAAAATTATGTAACACAGTTGTTTACACTTAAATAAAAAAAAAAACAAACAAAACATTTGACCAAAGAAAAACCGGAGCAGGACTAGACAGATGAATATGACTTAGATTTTTATTTTTGTGACTGTATACGACCCACGGGAGACATGACATTAACAGCCGTCGTGATTTCATTCCTTGGCTTTAGCAGGTATTTGCAGAGCTGATGCTGCTAAAAATGACAGAATTTCTTTTCTGGTTCTCTGAGAGCAGGACTTCAATCTCCAAACTCGTGATATTCTTCTTTTTGCTGTCATTTTAATGAATGGCCACTTCCTGGTACGTGGGGCAGGAAACATAGCCTTATATGGTGTTCCCTTTCAGTCAATTCACTCGGTACAACATCATGTATGGGAACCACGCCCCTGCGTGTCCTGGCTGAAGCC